ACCACAGCGCTGCACCTGGAACTGGCTGCCGCACGCTTGTGATTATTAAGCACAGGCACAAATTTTCTCTCTTTGGAAGCTACGCTCTACGGAAGAAAGAAGCCTGCTGGACTATAGTAACAGGCTTGCTCTGAAAGGGAGTCAGGACCCAAGCCTGAAGTCAGCCACCATGAGCCAGCACCGCACCCTCGCGCTGAAGGCGGCCAACAACACCCTGAGCTGCAGGAGGACGAGTTCTGCAGCAGGCAAGGGAGGCGATCCTTCCCTCTGCTCAGGGTGCGGAGGGCACTCTGTGTGCTCTGGCCAGGCTGGGCTCCCCAGGCCAGGACTCACTGGGCTGAGACTAGCAAAGGGCCACAAAGATGAGGAAGAACACATGAAATCAAATCTGAACACAAGAAAAAACTTTTTGACTGCAGCTGTAGTCAAGCATTGCAACCAGTTGCCCGCACAAGTTGTGGCATCTCCACCCTTGGAGTCCACTGAAAACCTGAGGGGACACGTCCTGGGCAACCTGCTCTGGGTGACCCTGCTTGAGCAGGAGGGGTTGGACTCGATGATCTCAGAGGTCCCGTCCAACCCCAATGATTCTGGGAAACCACAGATAGAGGTCTCAGCCTGGAGCTGAGGGGCAGCATTCGTCAGCCGACTCAGAGGCACGGGCTGTGAGGCAGCGAGAAAACTCTTCTTCCCTTGTCACCCCCGGCTCAGGTGTGCCAGGCAGTGCACTGCTTGGACTAGTCACTCAGTTCTCACCCCGCTGTGATTCTGCAGATGACATGAACACAGAGGAGGTAAGCAGGAAGAACCTCTGCTTCAGGACATGGGGACCTGAGAGCATCTGGCAGCTTTTCTCCAAACAGGGGCAATGCTGCTTCAATTCTGGCACCTGTGGAAGAGAAGGAAGCAAACGGGGCAAAGGATTACACAGGAATGAGACATGAGGAAGGTACAAGAGACATGCAGGATATCAAGATATGGGCCCTGGAAGACTGTTCTGGAGTCAACTGACCTGTCCAGCTCCCCACGGCTACATGCTGCTCTGCCCTGGCGGCTGCTGCTGCCCTTCAGAGGCAGCTGCATCTGGGGGCTCAGAGCGCTTTGGGTTCCAGTGTGAGCCCAAAGCATCAGAGGAGTTGGCCTTGACCTTGTGGCAGGTCTTGCAAAGGGAGAGCCCAGGCCTCTCACGTCTGCATTAACTCTGGTGCCTAATGACAGCCCTTCCTGGGGTTCTGGAGAGGAAACAGCCTCTTAGACAGCGCTCTTGAGTCTTTCTGGCAGCCACGTTCTACTTCTAAACCAGACACAACTGGAGAGCTCTGATGACCAGTGACCCAAGAAGCAGCCTCTTTTTACCTCATGAAAGCCTAACGGCGATGTCTGCACAGCCTGCCGAGGAAAAGAGCAACTGCCCATCGAGTGGGCGTCCTGCAGGAAAACCGTGCCAACGCATCTGTCCAGCAAGGGGAAGGAACACTCCTGCGAGTGACGCCCCCACGGCGCTCCATGAGATCTCCGGTCCCCTCGGGTGTCGGCGGGAGCAAGGCGAGAAAATCCGAACGCCCGAAGCCAAGGAGCTTCTGCTTGCAGCTCCAGCGAAGATTCCCGTTCGTCCGACCGAGGAAAGCCGGGGTTATCTTTGCAGGGCGGGCAGCAGAACTCATCCCATCCACGCTCCGGTGCGACACGGAGTCAGAGCACAAACCCTGGCGGAAACGGGCGGGGGGGACGGGGGGACACGCCCGTCCCGGCGCCTGGGGACCCCCGAGTGTCCCGGGGAGCACAACGCCCGGCAGCTGCCCTTCCTCACGCTGCCGCCCCGCTCCTCCTGCGGCTCCTCCGCCCCTCCCGGGTACAGCGGGCACCGGCAGCACCCCCCGGGCCGGGGCC